CCAACCTTTCTTAGGGTTTTGCGGAAAAGAAACGTGTGCCTTCCCCGGCAATGGCGCCAAAAACTTGATGTAGTGTGTGGGGGATGTCAAGTTTTACCCTAATGAAATCAATAAGCCGCAAGTGCACAGCTGATCGATTGTAATACTTAGGGATCGAATCCACAGGGAAGAAGGTTATTTCCTGCAAAAGCCTGTGAAAGAAATATAAAGTAAGGAAGTCTAGATCCATGCGATATTTAAAAGGGTTTTGGTGGTTTCTTTGAAACGTAAAACTAATCTAAATGGTAAAATACCAAAATCAAAATGACCTAATAATCAAACCTAATAAAATCGACTAAAAATGAGGAAAAACAACTAGACCTAAATTTTTTAAATAAAATCGCTGGAAAACTTAAATAAGATGCTGGGTTTTCAGGAATATTCTCTCCGGAGATGAACGATCCAAAACATTCCTCAAAAGTAAATTAAAAGATCATAGCCAAAACTTTTAGAACTCGAGTCACGAACGTATGAATATGCCACTGTCGTAATCATAACCAACTACCTCTCGCAACCCTAACCAGTAGGTTTCCACTCTGGCCCTAGAAGGGAAAAAATGCAAGCTTGCTTAAGACTCGTCTACATTCACAGTTCGCCCATAGGTAGGTTTTCACTCATATGGTTGATCTGCTCTTTTCAAACTAGATCTGGCCCCGGATGAATACTTTCACAACACCAAGAACCTAGATTATATTGTAGTTCATGACGCTACTCCCATGCTAATGGAATCCTCATCAAAAATGTATAGCCCCCATCTAAAATCCCTTAAACCCAACAATAAAACTTCTCAGACATGATTAAAGAAAGCAAAAACATTGTATTAAAAAGCTGTATTGAATATCGATATGGTAAAGGAACATAAAAGGTTCAAGAGATAGATATTTATCTTCCTAGACCTAAAACTAAGAAAATGAAAGACAAAAACTTAAAAGCTGCTAAAAGAGAAATTGCATATCGTCTAGGGCTCCTAAAACATGTATTTATAGTGTTCAAGTCATTTTTGGGCGTCATTTAGGGTTTTCCAAATGATGGAATCGTCTTGGGCTTGAAAATGGGCTTCTAGGCCGGACAGACCAATCTCCACGATCGGAAAGGACGGGACCGATGTAAATTGGGTGTTAGCCGCAGGTAGGAATGCTTGCCGGCTGATTTATGAGACATCTTGCTCTTCGTGTAACTTTTGATTGAACTGTTAGATTGCCATGATGTAAAGTGTGCTGGAAAACTGGTAACTTCATCCTTAATGTCTCCAAATTTGAGCTGGATCGGACGGTGAGAAGGTCTTCATTTGAGGGTGAACTTCTGACGGTTTGACTCTGAGTTGAAAATCTGGTCTTTTATCCATTTTGTTAAGATTTTTCCAAAGTTTTCCGAAAAGAGTCTTGAAACTACAAGTACTAAAAAACATAATAGAAACATTTAAAAGCAGTAGAAAATGAACATAAAATAAGTATTTCAAAACGATCCATAAAAATGATGAAAATACGGTGTTATAAGCGCCTATTCTTTTTCCTTCCCGCGTTTATCGCTACCTGAAAAACCATCCACAAAAATATACATTCCTTTGCCTATATATCATATATGCGTATGTATGCATTTTATGCTTTAATCCCTAGTCCTTTTATCCATACTTGGAACATCTATTTTAATCGGACCCAGGTTGGCTTCGGATCCAGCCGAGTCTTGGTGGAATCGGTCCCATCCCCGAGCCGCTCGGCGGTTTATGCACACCCGGCCCGAACATTACCAAAAACCATCACAGGTCAAATCTAAATTCCAGGCCGGCAATCTTTGTGGTTTGTAAGCCAATTCACCCGCTGGGACAGCCAAGTCTAGAATTTTTCGTGCATGGGTTTTCTGACGAACCGGAGTACCAGTTCGGTACATTAAACCTTTTTAAAACGCACCTTAGCCACACCACGGTTGATTATGTCATGCCCGCGTGAACTCTCTACAGGTTGATCCTTTCCGATCAAGCGTATATCCTCCTCGGCCTGTCTTTGCGACCCGCACCAGCCGCTCTGGCCTTATCCTAGCTTCACTCGGTCACTCTCTTTGTTCTCTCGGTTCTGTTGTAATTTGGGCAGAGTTTCTCCCCCTTAGTTGTGCGTACCCAAAAATGTGGACAAAGGGGTTTGTAACCGCCATCGGTGAACAAGTGTGTATGATTTGGACGAACATGCGTGTTGTTTGGTGGAATGGTCTTCGCAACCATTCAACCATAACAACCTATAACCGCCCATGACTACCCCATTCCAGCTACCTCACTTACCACTCAGCTATACTAACTGTCTTACTCTTAACCCAGCTGAGCTGAGCTTCCCGTCACCTGATCCAGCTAGCTTAGCTCAACCATCCAGGTCATCTTAGCCCAATCCTCCTTATTGAGCTATCTTTTTCTCTTATTCCCGGCTAAGTCCCACATTGAGCTATTTTGGACCATGGCTCGAGTTCTTCCTTAGACTCTCGACCATTTCACGGCCGTGGTCTGTCTCGACGATCCTATTGTGGATCGGGGACGTTACAATTCTTCTCCCCCCCCCTTGAAAGGGATTTGTCCTTGAATCCGGTTTAAGGGGTAGAACCTTGTTCCATTCCTCGAACCACTCGGGATAATCAGCCTTCATCTGATACTCTGTTTCCCAAGTTTCTTCTTCTACACCATTACTTTCCCAAACAACTTTCACCATCAGAATCATTTTTTTTCTTGTTGCTTTTTCCATCTTATCAATGATCCAAACTGGTCTTCTTTCTACGGTCAGATTCTCTTTAAGGTTCGAAGAGATCTCGGCTAGGACTTTATCATGATCTATTAAGCACTTCCTTAGTTGTGATACATGGAAAACGTTGTGGAATGCTTTCATCTCCGGTGGTAAAGCCAACTTGTATCGACTGCCCCAAACGTTTCCAATTCGGAATGGTCCTATGTACCTCGGATCAAGCTTTCCCTTTTTGGAAATTCGAGCCCTTCCCTTGAACGTGATCATCTTCACATAGACCAGATCGCCTACCGCGAACTCAAGGTCTTTTCGACGCTTGTCCGCATAGCTCTTATGTCCATCTTGAGCTTCCTTCATTTTTATCCTTTTCTTTCCGTAGTTTCTTTCACAATGACCGGCCCGATTACACTCCGCTCCTCCACTTAGGTCCAACAAAGCGGTGTTCAGCACAGCCGCCCATATAAAGCTTCAGCGACATTCCAATGCTGGCTTGGTAACTGTTGTTGTAGGAAATTCGGCTAAAGGTAAATACTTTTTCCATGAACCGCCCCAATCCAAAACGCAAGCCCGTAGCATGTCCTCCAGTATTTGTATGATCCGTTCCGACTGTCCGTCTGTCTGTAGATGATAAGTCGTGCTCATGTTCACTCTCGTTCTTAAGAGCTTTTGGAAAGCCCTCTAGAAATAAGAAATGAACCGCAAGCCCAAACGTTTCCAATTCGGAATGGTCCTATGTACCTCGGATCAAGCTTTCCCTTTTTGGAAATTCGAGCCCTTCCCTTGAACGTGATCATCTTCACATAGACCAGATCGCCTACCGCGAACTCAAGGTCTTTTCGACGCTTGTCCGCATAGCTCTTATGTCCATCTTGAGCTTCCTTCATTTTTATCCTTTTCTTTCCGTAGTTTCTTTCACAATGACCGGCCCGATGACACTCCGCTCTTCCACATAGGTCCAACAAAGCGGTGTTCAGCACAGCCGCCCATATAAAGCTTCAGCGACATTCCAATGTTGGCTTGGTAACTGTTGTTGTAGGAAATTCGGCTAAAGGTAAATACTTTTTCCATGAACAGCCCCAATCCAAAACGCAAGCCCGTAGCATGTCCTCCAGTATTTGTATGATCTGTTCCGACTGTCCGTCTGTCTGTAGATGGTAATTCGTGCTCATGTTCACTCTCGTTCTTAAGAGCTTTTGGAAAGCCCTCTAGAAATAAGAAATGAACCGCGAGTCCCTGTCTGAGACTATGCTTGCCGGAACACCATGCAAACAAACTAACTCGTCCATATATCTTCCCACGATTTGTTCAACACCATCCGTCTTAATCACGATGAACTGAGCTGACTTAATTAATTGATCTACCATAACCCCGACCGCATCTTGTCCTGTCCTTGTCTGGGGAAAATCAGTCACGAATCCATCGTTATATGTTCCCATTTTCCACTCCGGAATGGGTAAACTTTGCAACAACCCACTCAAGATTTGATGTTCTGCCTGTACCAGTTGATAAGTCGGACATCTTGACACCCTCTCAGCCACGTCCCTTTTCATTTTCGACCCAATAATAATACCGTTTAAAATCTTGGTACATCTTGTTAAATCCGGGATGAATCGAGAACTTAAACTGATGCACTTCTCTAAGGATTTCTTCCTTTAACTCATTCACCTGGGACACAGATTCGGCCATTAACCACAACTGTGCCATTGTTTGAGGTTTGGTACTCCGTCTTCCCGTTTTGCACAGCCTTGCACAGGACCTCATCTTTTCCTTGTGTAATCCGAATCCGGATAAGTAAGTCGGCTTGATCTGATGCCCTTAAGCCCAAAGATTCCAGGTCGGTGAACAAAGCATTAATACCTCCGCTTCTTTTCTTGCAGCCACTTCGAACCGTCTTCTACTCAATGCGTCTGCGATAGATTAACCTTTCCTGGATGGTAGGCTATGACCAAGTCATAATCCGCCACAAGTTCCATCCACCTTCTTTGCCTTAAATATAATTCAGGCTGCGTGAAGATGTACTTCAGACTCTTATGGTCGGTGTAAATTTTCACTTAAGCCCCATAGTAATATGATCGACATATCTTAAGTGCAAAGACTACCGCCACCATTTCTAAGTTGTGGGTTGGATAAGTTCCATCGTGCTTCCGTAGTTGCTTTGATGCATAGGCGATCACCTTGCCTTTTTCCATTATAACACATCCAAGCCTGTTTATAGACGCATCCGTGTACACCACATATGGTTCATCTGTTTCTGGTAAGGCTAGAACCGGTGCGCTTGTTAACATTTCCTTCAGCCCGGAGAAACTCTTTTTCCCACTCCTCCGTCCATGTGAACTTCGCATCCTTCCCGGTCAGCCGCGTCAATGATTTGGCTAAACTTGAGACTCCGTTCATAAACTTTCTGTAATATCCCGCCAAGCCAAAAAAACTCCTTATTTCCAAAGCATTCTTTGGTCTTGGCCATTCCTCAATGGCTTTAATCTTCTCCAGATCAACTGATACACCTTGGTCCGAGACAATGAGTCTTAGGAACCCAATACTCCTTTGCCAGAAGCTACACTTGCTAAGTTTTTTGTATAGCTTTTGGTCCCTTAGACGCTGCAACATCGCCCTCAAATGACCATGATGCATTTCTAGGTTTTTTTAATAAACAAGTATATCATCGATGAATATGATGAGAAACTCGTCTAGACAATCCCATAATATCCCGTTCATCATTTTCATGAAGGCCGCCGGTGCATTTTTCAAGCATAAGACATGACCACAAATTCGAAGTGGCCGTAACTGGTCTGGAATGTCGTCTTACGCACATCCAAAAGGCTCTATGGGAATCTGATGATATCCCGAAGCCAAGTCCACCTTTGAAAACACGGTTGCCCCTTTTAACTTGTCCAGCAGCTCGTCTATCTGAGGCAACGACACTTATTTTTTATAGTTACTCGGTTTAGCCCTCAATAAGCGATGCACAACCTAAAGCTTATGTCTTTCTTCTTAACGAACAGAACCGGTGCTCCCCAGGGTGAACTACTTGGTTTTCCAACATCTCCTCCAACTGTTTCTTTAGCACGGCCATTTCTGTCGGAGCCATCCGATAAGGTACCTTCGAAAGTGGAATAGTTCCAGGTTCAAGTTCTATCGTAAAACCGGTCAGGTGGTAAACCTGTTAAGGCCTGGAAGACATCTTAAAATTTGTTGATTACCGGAATATCCTTTATCTCGGCACCTTTTTCTACTTCGGTCGTGGTAATCGTGGCCAAGTAAGCTTCACAACCCTTATCCAACATCATTTCCGCTTGGATTGCCGAGACCAGTAAACTACCTGAAGTTGGTCAAATTCCTTGAAATTCTAACTTTTTGGCATTTCACTCAAACCGCACCCGTCCACGGTGACAATCTAGCGTAGCTTTATATTTTCCTAGCCAGTCCATTACTAATATCACCTCATGATGCTTGAGTCGGAGCATGACTAGATCCACCGGTAGGTTTACCCCACCGATCATCACCGAGATATCTTGGACCGTTTCTTGCGAGAACATGACCTGACCACCTGCGGCATTGACTATCCCATAGTCTTTCCCATGTTTTCTATGGAACCTGTCTTTTCCTATCATTTCCAGGCTCACAAAACTATGTGTAGCTCCGGTATCAAATAAGACGTGTGTTGACACACCCGCCTATTTCCAAGGTCCCTACACATTTATCCTAAATGATAAGTTCCCTCCTTTTTACCCCGATGCAATGCCATACTCGTAATTTAAATTATTGAACGGGCTAGGAAACTTACCAGTGATCTCACTGTAACTTCCAGCCTTATCAATTCTTGGACAACTCGTATACCCGGGGTGCTACAGCCTGTCTCTTAGCTTGTTGTGTGTCTCCGCTACGGTTTCCCCTTTACTCCATCCGCATTTTTGCTTGCAGCTTAGGACATTCTTTCTTGAAATTTCCAGCTTTTCCGCAATAAAAGCAAGATATTTCCTCATTATTAACCATGAGCTGCCCTTGCGCAATCCGCGGACAGCTTTGAACCGTGTGATTCTTGCTACCGCACTTGGCACATGTTCCAGACACTTTTCAGCATGTGTCCCCGTGCTTCTTTCCACAAGTCGCACATTTTCCTTGTTTAGCCGAGGCTTGACCGTCTTCACCGACCTGATCCCACTTCCGTCCTGTTATCCACGATCTTACTCGCCATTATAGGACATGTCAGGGCTTTTCCTCAATTTTCTTCCTCTATGATGGACTCAACGGCCGCAGCCCGTTCCACTAGTTCTGCAAATGAGTTGAAGGTGCATGAGTAGCAATGGGTTCGGAGATCTCATGTTAAGCCATGGAGGAATCGCCGGATCTGTGTGTTTTCTTTGACAAACTCTCCCCTAACACACCGACAAAGACGGTTAAACTCCACCTCGTACTCCCAGACAGTCCGGTTTCCTTGTGTTAAATCCAAGAATTCTTGCTCAAGTTTATCCCAAGGTTCCGAGAAAAAGTACGTCTGGTTGAACTCGGCTTCGAACTCGGCAAAAGTGTATATACCTCCTGATTGCTTTTCCACCAAGATCCACCAGTTATGTATGCATTGTAAGCTTTAATCCCCAACCCCTTTATCCGTCCTTGGAAAATTTATTCTACTTGGACCGAGGTTGGCTTTGGATCCAGTCTAGACTTGGCCGTGTGTAGGTTTCCCGACGAACCGGAGTACCAGTTCGGTACGCTAAGCCTTATTAAAACGCACCTTAGCCACACCGCAGTTAATTATGCATATGCCCACGTGAACTCTCTACGGCTTGATCCTTCCTGATCAAGCGTAAATCCTCCTTGGCCTGTCCTTGCGACCCGCACCCGCTGCTCCGGCCTTATCCCACCGTCACACGGTCACTCCCTTTATTCTTTCGGTTCTGTTGTAATTTAGGCAGAGTTTCTCTCTCATAATTGTGAGTATCCAAAAATGTGGACAAAGGGGTCTATTTATAGATTTTTCCTGTTGTAACCGCCTTGGGCAAACAGGTGTGTATGGTTTGGCCGAACAGGCGTGTTGTTTGGTGGAATGGTCTTCGCAACCATTTGGCCATAACCGCCTATAACCACCCATAACTACCCCAGTCCAGCTAGCTCACTTACCACTCAGCTAGACCAACTGTCTTACTCTTAACCCAGCTGAGCTGAGCTTCCCGGCAGCTATTCCAGATAGCTTAGCTCAACCATCCAGCTTATCTTAGCTCAATCCTCCTTACTGAGCTATCTTTCTCTCTTTTTCCCGGCTAAGTCCCACATTAACGAACTTAACCCATTATTTTTGACCATGGCTCGAGTTCTTCCTTAGACTCTCGACCAATCTTCCCCGCTTGACAGCCATGGTCCGTCCCGACGATTCTATTGCGGATCGGACATGTTACAAAACCCCCAATGAGAGCTACACGTCCAAGAGACCTAACATAGATCACTTGAGGGTTTTTGGCTGTGTTGCTTATGCTAAAGTCAATGGTCCATATCTTAAGAAGTTAGAAGAGAGATCAAAGAGTGTTCTTAATCTTGGAACTGAGCCAGGTTCTAAAGCTTATAGACTCTATGATCCAAAGGCTGGAAATGTAATAGTAAGTAGAGATGTAATCTTCGACGAGAAAAAAGCTTAGGATTGGTCAATCTCAACAAGAGACACTGATGGAAAACCAGGCAAGCTCAAACTGCCATACGATGATATTACAGGGGATGAAGCTGAGCACAACGAAGCTCAGAACGACGATCAAGATCAAGCCCCTATTGACCATGATGTGGTAGAAGAAGCAGATAACGTTGATCAAGAGATAAACCGAGGAGAAGAACGAATCATACGGAAACCAAGGTATCTGGACAATTTCGTGATGTTTGCAGATCAAGAAGGTGAAAGATTACTCATCACCGTCGATGGAGAACCAGAAAACTATCTTGAGACAGAGCATCTAAAGGAATGGATTGAAGCAATGAGAGCTGAGCTGGATTCTATCTCAAGGAACAAGACCTGGGATCTTGTTAAAAGACCAAATGGTGTAAGACCTATAGGACTAAAGAGGATCTACAAGATAAAGAGGAATGCTGATGGATCGGTGAACAATTATAAAGCACGCCTTGTCGCAAAAGGGTATGTGCAGCAACAGGGAATTGATTTCGTACCATAAAGCCTGCTAATAGCTCTTTCAGCGACAAAAGGATGGGAGATACATCATCCAGACGTCAAGACGGCATTGATGTGTGCGTAGGTGAGGGTGTCAAGTTTTACCTTAATAGAATCAATAAACCGCAAGTGCACAGCTGATCGATTGTAGTACTTAGGGATCGAATCCACAAGGAAGGAGAATCTTTTCCTGCAAAAGCCTTTGAAAGAAATATGAAGTAAGGAAGTCTAGAACTGGTCAAAATTCAAAGGTGTTTTGGGGTGTCACTAAAACGTAAATCCTAAACTAAACGGGAAAACGAAAATTACAAAAGAAATCGGCTGGGAAAACTAAAGAAAACCTACTCTAAAACTTGAGTAAAATCGGTTGGGAATGAAAATAACCTAATGACTAAAAGCTTGAATGATATTTGATGTAAGACAATAAAAATGAAGCGCTGGGTTTTCAGGTAAATTATCTCTGAGGTATGAACGATTCAAAACATTGCTAAAAGATAATTTTAAAAGATCCTAGCTAAAAGATCCTAGTCACAAAGGTATGATTACGTCACTCTCGTGATCATAACCAACTATATCTCGCAACCTTGACCAGTAGGTTTCTACTCTGGCCCTGGAAGGGAAGAGATGTGAGCTTGCTTAAGACTCGTCAACATTCACAGCTCACCCATAGGCAGGTTTCCACTCCTATTGCAGAATTGCTTCTCAAACTAGATCTGGCTCCTAATGAAAACGTTCGCAACACTACAAACCTAAATCAGATTATAGTTCATGACGCTACTCCCATGCATTAAAAATAAGTTTAGAAGACAAAATTCTAGGATTCGGTTTTAATAGCTAATGAAATTCTCATCGAACATTATAGTCCCCATTAAAAATACCTTAAACCCAACAACAGAACTACTCAGACATGATTCAAGAAAGCAAAACATTTTATTGAAAAGCTGAATATAAATCGATATTGAAAATAAACAAAAATGGTTTAAGAGATAGATCTCTATCTTCCAAAACTTAAAACAACTCTAAAAGTATTAAAAACGTAAAGGGAGGATTACTAAAGTATCATTCAAACCTATGTTTATTAACAGTTTGACACACTTTTATTTTTTATGCTAGAGTAACCTCGTATACCGATTATGCCTTTTTGGGCTTAGATGAGAAAAGGGCTTTGATGAGAAAAAAGTTGTTACAAAAATGCCATTACTTTTTATATGCCACGTAAGCAAAAAGTAGTGTGAAATTAAACATAAGTCTACCAATATTTTGTAGTAGACTTGTTAAAATTTGGTAAACGCAAATTTTTGTTGGTAGATTTATTTGGCAGAAGGTAGATTTGTTGAAACTTAGTAGACTTGTTTTGGTAGACATATTTTAATAGAATGGTTGACTTATTTTTTGTCGGTAGACAAATTCTTTGAGGGTAGATTTATTATCTTTAATAATAGACTTATGAATATTCTGTTGACTTATGATAAGTGTTTGA